TCAGTGATAACAAGTGGAGTGATTGGCCTGTTGGAGGAGGTTTGAGTAATATTAGAGACCAAGGCGAACGGTTCGACTGAAGGAGTGGAGGTTTCGAGCATTACAATTCTCCAACATTCTTCGCGGCATACCTCAATGAATGCAACACGAGTTGAAGGGAATCCCGACCAGGAATACGACCCTAAATTTCGTTTAGATCCTTGTTTAAGCTGGTTAGGAATTGAAACACCCGATCTTTTTCTACAATTTTCTGGAAGAGGAGAAGATCCGCTGGAGAGTCCCATGCGTAGTCTCATAGTAGAGATCACATACAATTCATAAGGTCACCAAATCATTTTAGTACCGATCACAATCCTTGATTTCTTTTTTGCGTGACAGATATTTTTAGAAACCTCATAAAGTTGTCCTAAGTTTCCTACATCAGAGTAGGTATCCCGAAATGCCGTTCATAGTACATTTGCAAACAAATGAAATATATTCAAAGGAACAATCATAGTCTCCATGGCATTAATCAACCTTGAAATCACCATGGAATTATCCACTTCCCACGCTGCATATGTTGGGTCTGTCTTTGGGGGTTCACAAATCATACCTGTGAGGTGGCCAAATTTACCTCGACTTTTGACAAATAAGGAAATGACTTGAGACCATTGAAGGAAATTCGAGTCGTTGAGTTTGTGGGTTGTAATCAGGAAATTTATGTTATTTTCCGGCCCTCCGGTTTGTGGATCCTTCAGTGAATTCAAGGACCTCGTCGGAAGGAAACTCAATGGTGGAGGAATCCACTATGATTCCAAGGGATAGATAGAGGAAGGCGTCGATCCTCCATTGGATTCAAGGACCTCATCAGAAGGAGACTCGGTAGTGGAGGAATCCGCCATGATTTTGATGGAGCCAAAGGTTAGGTTACGATGCTGAGACATAAACGGAGAAGGGCCCTTATGTAGCAGACAACAAAATATGGGGCATACATGTGACGATTTGACCGACAGGAGGGATCTCTGTCGGCATGAGATTTGATTCGGTTGGCGGGAAGAAGACCAAGGTGGCAAGGAAGGTTAGCGCTTTCGGTTGAAAGAACCTTCAGGAGATCTGACCGGCAGGCAAAAAAGCTGTAGGAAACATTGACTGAAAGCTACCGGTCAGAAAAAAAAATTGTAGGAAATAGTGATTTAAAACGGAAGGCCTACAGTAAATCTGGCCGGCTGAAATTGGCGGATGGGCGAGCCCGCAGAAAAGAACCTAATTTGATAACGTGTAGAATTTGAGAATAGGGCAGGATGATATTATTGAGCAACAAACGAGGTATAATACATGATACAAGGGGTATAGAAAATGAAAGATATATTACCCAAATCTTTCCTAACAACACCTAAAAGATAAAAATGAAATGTATAAACTAGGAAGTATGTATAAAAAGAAATAATAGGAAAGACAACCAAATCAATAAAAATAACTTCTGATATCAAGTATGTTCATTAAAAGTGGATGGTACCTCTAAACAATGTGTGGATGGCATGGCAGAGATGCAACCTTATTCAGCGTATATTTAAGTACTAGTATAAGGCTTTATGTTTCCAAATGGATGCTGATGCCTAGTAGAAGGCTATGGATGCTTTTCATTTTGCCTTGTCCCATTTTCCCTCTTTTCTATTTTTGAGATTCTCACAGTTACCGTGAACATTGATTTTTGCTGTACACAAGAACAATAATTTTAGGCGCAGTTACCTACAGTCTACCCAGTTCTTAAGTATTTACATATCTAACGCCTAAAGTTGACTTTTTTACATTTATACAACCCAAATTATTCATATCACATCAAAAATACTACTATGTTAACTTTTAAAAAGTGAACACTTTTTCATGCATAAATAAGGTGGCATATATATAAAAAAAGTAGATGTGTAAATACATAAGTATTTAGTGGTATTTATGTAAATCTTCCATTATTTTATCGTCTAGGAACCTTGGCATGGGGTAGGTTAGGGATGTAGGATATGTATTTTCAGTTAAGGTTGTTTGTTGAAGTTTAGAAAGTTCAAATGTGGGTGCCCTTCTAGATTGTAGGAATTAAGGTTGACTGCTAGGATTAAAAAATTCAGATTTGAATGTGGGTTCCCTTCTAGATTGTAGGGAATTTTCTGGTCATTGTTTCCCTTTCCACTGAGATATTGAATAAAATGAGACACGTTTTTACTACTAATACTACTATAATCTTGAAATGAATATAAATTTTGTTAGTTTAAGCTGTTAAAATGGTGGAATTATTCTCTTGAGTGCCTTTTTTTTTTCTCTGTATTTGCCCGTCCCCTCATCCTTTATTTTGGTAATATTTGCAATTGAAGTGCTGTTGGCTGGTTTGCCTTATATAGAGATGGCCTTGGGAAACCTAATTTTCTAACTTGTTGTGAGACATTTTGTATGCGATTGGAGGAGGGTCTTTTAACATACCAAAAGCTTATAAAAACTCCAATCTGAAATGTGATTTCAATGTTATGGAAACTACATTGGAAACCTTGTAAAACCACTTTCCTTTGATCTGAAATTAGGAAAAGTGGCTGCTTGCTTGCCTAGTTGTTGTAATGAACTCTAGTTGGTTGAGAAATTTTGGAGGCTTTTTGGGAGATATGAGGTGGATATTTGTGGGAAGTGGCAGTTGAATCAAATTTGAGTCTGGATTATTGTTTTTCTTCAAAATTTATGCTTTTGGTTATGGGTTTGTGGATATTGATTATGGGTTTTGTTGTTGATTTTAATTTAAATTGTGTTCGTTGGAGAAAGAAAGTGGATTGAATGGAGGACAATCATGGAAGCGAATATGTTTAACCATTCATGTGACTAATAATATTATTATTTACAAGAACAGTAGGTTTATTGCTTACATTAACAAAAATTATACTGTTCCATATATTTTAAAACAATATGAAATAGAAAACAGCATGATTAAAGAGGATTATTGCCTGTATGGAAAGAGAGAGAACAAAGATTTAATTGATTAAACATGAAATTAAAATTGGCGATGGAACATGCTTTCAGAATAGCAATCATGCACAAAGAATGATAGAATTAACCATAAAATCTTGGCCTTGATACCGTGAAATCATCAATCATGGTAATAGTCTAAGAAGTAGGCAACCAGAGTTAATTGACATAGGGTAAAATATCAGCAATATGGTACACAAAATTAGGTAATTTTTTAACTTCTGTGCAACTTCATTTTTGTAAAAATATATATTTGCATTAATATATCAACGGTAAAAAAATTATGCATGTATGCATCTATGATCTATAAAACTGAGACCTGTCATTAAAAAGTATAGTGAATTGTTCCCTATCGTCATCTACATGCATAAAAAAAACGAATCACTACGGTCGAGCTTAGCATAAAAATTGGTGGCCCTATTTCAATATCTAGAAACATGCAAAAAGAGAACTTTTTTGAAGTTCAAAAGAACAACAAAGTCCATCGCAAGCTGTGTTTGGAGCTTCCAAACATCTCGTTGAATGGAGGATCTAAGGAATTGCATAATGTTATTATTGTCCACTTCAATGATAATACCTTTCAGATCAAACATCCATGACTGGAGAAGTTGTTGGAGAGATTTCACCGCCAAAAGTTCTACTTGGGAGCTATCCCAATGCTCAAATATTGTCCCATAGCCATGATGCCTATACCACGATCATCCCGAATGCTGCGAAAAAGAAGAAAAAACTAGGGTGGCTAGCATCCTAGTGCCCCCAAAATGGGTAAAAATGCGTCTTAGTGAGGGCCTCGATAATTGTAGCAGCAATAATTGTTGGTGTCCTGTATGTTCGGTTGTGAATCTTGGCATTGCGGGCCCGCCAACCTTGATGGATGGTGTAGCGAAGCATGGAATTGTGATTCTAGGTCCGTTTAAACTAACAAGTTACATCATAAAATCATTGTACATTTAAATTTTCTTGATTTTATCATTTGCAACTATTGTGAAAGGAATTTGAACCATTTTATAATGAACTTACATTTTATTTCTTATATATCTATTGGTGAAAAAAATAGACTGTTCTGTTTATTTTACTATAAGTTCTCTGGAATATAATTATTATATGCTTAACCATCTTCCTACACTTCCCGAGTTTTTTGGATCATGATTAAGGATATGAATCTTATTCTTAAGCTGCTTTATAGCTTTCTGAATTTTGTGCTTATTAAACATTTATTCGCTTTGAAACCATTTAAAATTAGAAGTGCCATGTCTCTTAATGTATTCAAAATATTTAATCTATATTTTTCTTTTTGAATTTTGGTTGTTACATCATCTCATGATATGGATGGATGGTATATTTTCCTGCACTGTTTATCATTATCAGAAAATAGTTCTTAATTGGAGCTGTGGCATATCGAAAAGATTTGTGTATTGGAACACCCTCCATTTAGTTTTTGACCATCTAACCAAACATCAACCCCTGGTTTTGCATATTTGTCTATTTGTGAAGCCACACTAAGACCAACACTGAATTCTTCTACTTAGTCTTAAGATAGAATTAGTAAATATAATTTTCTGGTTAACAATGATTGTTGCACTTGGTATATTTTTACCTGTTGCAATTTTCGCTGTAACAAGTTTTAATCGAGAATCTGCGCCTTACTTTACACAGCATGTCTTTTTGTGATTGCATCCTTGTAGATCACTGCTTGAGTCCAAATTTCATTCACATTAAAATATTTGCGGCCATACTTGCTCCATAATTTAGGGGTTGTTTAGTTTAATGCTTTCTTTGATGTAAGATTATGTTATTTATGATTTATTTCCTGCCAAGATTGAGGTAACTAAACACACTTTATTTGAATGATATCAATGCTATCTGAATAGCATTTGCATGATATTCTCCTTCACTTTCTTACTTAGAAAACAATGCCATCTTAATAACAATGAGTCAAACAATCACATAATATGAAATGTTTTCTATTTTGATCTATGCACCTGCTGGAGGTTTCTTAGTTAAGATTTTCTTTTCAGGTTTGCAAGTTTTTCCTGGAGGCAGTAGAGAAAAAACAGTATGGTTGGTTCTGGTCCTGCCCCAATGGCGGCAAAGATTGCCATTACAGGCATGCTCTTCCTCCTGGATATATTTTGAAATCTCAAATGAAGGCCTTGTTGGAGGAGGAAGCAGACAAGAAGGCAATTGAAGAAGAGATTGAGGACCAGGTACTGCACATTTCTGTTGTGCTGAAAGGTTTCATCTTTGCACCCGTGCTCCCATGCATGTTTTTGTTGATATCTTTTGTCCCTTCCATCCCTGCAATTGTCTTGCTTAGTCATATTTGTGAAATACAGACCCTTCGGACTTGTTTGGGATTAATTTTATCTTTTTTTATTTTTTCATTTGTTTTTAAAATCATATTTATTTAGTGTATTTTTATTTCTTTTTATTTTTTTTTCTAAAAATAAAGTTAATTTTATGTTTTTTTTTTTATTTTTTCATTTGTCTTTAAAATCATATTTATTTAGTGTTTTTTTATTTCTTTTTATTTTTTTTTCTAAAAATAAATTGATATGCTATTTAAAACATTCAAATAACTTTTAGATATTTTAAGTGCTTTTAAAAATAATCATATTGGATCAATTATGTTAAATATATTTTATTTCAAATCAAAAGATCTATATATATATAAACAAAAATGATCTCAAACGGCTCCTTCATAATTTGCACAATAACTCTTGTCAGCACTTCTCCAACAGTGATCATGGGGTTTTCTCTCTCAAAAATGTTATTTTGGTGAACTTTCTAATCAGTGTTACTTTTCTAAAAGCGTGGAAAACTGTCTTCTACCACACCCATGACGCCTGAGCTCTTCCAACAATGGAAGATTAAGAAGGTGGCTGAAAAGGAAGCTGCCCTTGCAGCAAACCAGGCAGAGCGAGCCAAAAATGATCGCATGAGGTTTGATCATGCCCAGTAGTTCTTCTCAACTCGGCAAGATAGAAGTAATTTCTAACAAAATTGTTTTCTTTTCAGTGGTCGTGAGCTCTTTCTTTCAGATGCTAGCCTGTTTGTGGATGATGCAGAGGCGTATGAGAAATACCAGAGGGAAGATTCAGATGGTGAAGAGAAGGTAAGATCATCATTCTCAGTTCATTTTTGTTTTTGTTGTCCAATTTTAAAATTTAGTATTATATGCTTCTGCTTGATCTTGAACCTGTACAATTTAGGTTTTAATTCGAGTTTGCGGGTCGGGTTTGGGTCTAACCCAAAGCTGACCCGACCTGAAATTGTTTGATCCGAACCTCACCCAAATATTAAATGGGTTAGAAAGGCCACTCGAACCTGACCCAACTTCAAATTGCTAACCCAAACCAAACCCGTATAACCCATTTAATATATAAGACAATAGTTATTTGGTTTAAATTCGAGTTGGATTTCGATTGGTAGATCAATTTCAAGTCAAATTCGGGTTAGCATCTCAGATTCAAATAATTTTTGATTTGGCGGGTCAACCTGACAGCTACTCAAAAAAACTAAATGGGTTAGGATTCCTATAACCCAAACCTGACTTATAACCCGTTTAACGTAAGTCATAATTGCTATTTGTATCAAATTTGAGTCAAATTCAGGTCTATTTCAAGTTGACAATTTAATTTTGAGTTGATTGCGGGTTAAAAGGTCAGATTTAGGTTGATTTCAGGTTGGTGGGTCAACCGAAACCTGGCCCAAAAAGTTAAACTGATTAGGTTTCCCAACCCAAACCTGACCCAAAAATTATTCAGGTTGGCTTAAACTGCACCTGTATTTTTTGACTCGAGTTTCGGTTGGTTTGGCATGTTGGGTCAATTTTTGACACCTCTACATACAATCATTTGCATGCTCCTTACTTCAGGCTAAAGAGAGTAAAATTGGTGAACCAAGCACTTCGAAATCTGTCGAAGAGGATGAAATTCTCGCCGAGGATGACGATGATGACCTCGACATGGATGAGCTGAACGAGCTGGAAGCAACCCTGTCAAGGACCACTCTCGAGATCCATTCCTCGAACTAACAACGAGTTACACGAGGTCATAGAGTTGTTGTAAAACTTATGCGGGCTTCTGATCGACGATTATTATTCATAAGTCTGCTGTGGAGAACAAAGCAGATGATAGTGAGGTGCTGAACTTGTTTTATTTCTATATTGCTTTTTGAAAACAAATTGTATTTTAAATGCCTGAACTAATTTGTAGAGAACATTGGGGTGGCATCATGGCATGGGTGAGGAATTAATTTTGAGGTAAATGAGCTGTGTTTATTTTGAGACATGAATCAGTCTTGCAATGTCCTTTTTGTTAATTTGGGGCATTTACCCATCACCCGATTCCTATGTATTTACATATCTAACACCTAAAATTTGCTTTTTATGTTTATACCATCTATATAGTTCATATGACATAAAAAAGACCACTATGTTAATTATTAAAAAGTGAAATACATATTGGCACTCATATGTAAGGTGGCATATATGTAAAAATTGAAGTTTAGGTGTTAGATTTGTAAATACATGAGAATTGAGTGGTATGTCCGTAAATCTTCCTTAATTTTTGGTTTTTTGGTTTTTTTTTTTTCATTTAAAGTCTGCTTTGTTTTTCAAATTGACTGTTTTTGATGGAATCGAGCTCATTCGCTTTATTTGAACGATCAAGATGTTCTGCATGGGAGGGGAATTTAATACATCGGTGATGATCAATTTGGTATGCCAAATTTGATCAGATCTCATTGAAATCAATTTTTGTCTTGGAGCACGCTGAAACAGAAATGATAATCGGTTTGCATTTTGGATCGATTCAATATATATATATATA